CTTACATACCGTGCAGATTGTAGGAGGAGCCAGGAGTTGTTGGCGGCGGCGTGTGGGTAGTGGTGCGATTGTGTGTGTTCTGTGGTCTGTCGTGGTTGTGATATGGTCTATTGTGTTGTTATGTTGTTGTGCTGTGGTGATTGTGTGGAGCTGCTCAGGTGGGCTGGGGTTAGCCGTGGAGGTTGCTCTGTTTGACCAGCAGGGGGCCACATACGACGTGGTTCACTGCCGATGTGTCCATAATCCTGAGCAGACTCCAAGGTGACTCCACCCCTCGCAGGCATTACACTTGACTGAGGTATAGTTGTGGTGTAGTCGTCTCTGGCATACATTGCAGGTGTAGGTTTCTGGCCCTGGGTTTGACTCGATGCCAGCCCTGATCAGAAGAATAATCGCGCGATTTTTCATTTTCATAAGGAAAAGTGAATTATTACGAAATACTAATACAGTGGCAGCACTATAGCTATTTTGGAATCTCGCGTTTCAGCTCGCAAAGATTGTCATCTTCTTTTTAATAACAAAATAATCTATCTTAGGTTGATAAAACTATGTGTTTCTTTAATAAATAAGTTAAATTATATATTTTAATAGTGTTTAAAAAGTGAGAACAGGTGATTTAGTGAATCTTTGTCGGTGTAATTGCCCATAGAAAACAACGAAATTTAACAAAAGTTTTTTGTTCATAACTTTTAAATGGTTAATAATATTAGCCCCCCCTCCGGATTGTTATTAGGGGGGCCGAAACGCGTCGTTTGGTACCCCTCCCGACTTTTCCGCACCTTTTTTAGGGGTTGTTACCCCACCCTAGAGAATTACCATATCTTATTTCATTTCATTGCGAATATACTATAAAAAAAGTAAATTTTGTTCAGAAGAAAATATGAAATTTTGTATTTTTCCCCCAAATAGGGATTCATTTCTTCCCGTTTTTCTTCTTATTCTACTGAGCTAAGGCAGTGTCAAATCGAGCTGTCACAACTGATTCCGCCTTGTATTAGGTTCTTTCCCGTACGCAACGCGGGATCCCGCGGGTGCCCAAAATAGCCCAGAAATCATTCCCGTACTCAACAAAATTGGTAATAGAGAGCGAAAATTGGAACGTATTGGATCGTGTCTTCTTTTTCCTGCCCAAAACAGCCCGGACTTTTTCTCCGCGTAAAAACGGATAGCGTCAAAGTGTATATCAGCTGTTTTGTGTTAACATGTTGCCCGTTTCTAGTGCTGTGCTGAGTCAATAGTTTTAAGTATTGATCGATATTCGGTACCGATTTGAAAAGTACCCCATACTCTCGATACTCGGTACCGAAACATTTAGGTTTCGAATAAACAGGCCAAAAATAGGAAAAAAAACAGTTCAGGGGAGACTCGCCTATAAAAACCCAAATGTAGGAGCCAATAGAGCTTTTAATACGGATACAAATGAAAGATGTATATATGTCGGTTCGAGGCCATAATGCAGAGAAACTCTTACTTGTTTGAAGCACTTTTGTTCCAGCTGAATCGGACGATATCATTTTTGTAGGCCTGGGGGCAGATTCTGTAACCAGTTAGCGACAATTTTCGAATCGGCATCAGTTTTGTTGACGTATGATATGAAATACTTTTACGTCAACAAGTGCGATATCGTTCCGAAACTTGTCGCTAACTGGTTACAGAATCTCCCCCCTGAAAGCCTTCTTCATCCGTAAAAGCATTTTTCTTGAACCTTGGATCAACTAAGATTAAAACTCATAAAATAATATTGCTCTGTTGCGATAAGTTCAAGTGTTTAGGCGATATCATATAAATTAGTAATTCAAGTTTTTTCTAAACTTGAAATGCATTTAATGGCGAGGGTTTAATGTAAAGAATCGGTATCGGGTACCGAAAAGTACTGGTGACCGATATCTCTTTTAAGTTTTGAGTACCGAAAATTCAGCACATCACTAGCTGTTTCACAAATTCTGGGCATGAAATGTGATTTTTTGCGTTCCCGTACTTCTGGATTATGTTCCATTTTTGAGCAAACTTTTCGCTTAGTTTCTAATAACCGGATCCGGTCCGGATTGTTAGGGAAAGAACCTATTATTGTATCATGCGGTTGCATAGCTCATGATACGAATTTCACTTTGGATCTTCGATAACCAGCTAAGATCGAAAATCGAATGCAACTGATAATAAGGGGCAGTCTTTTATTTCTAAACAGCACTTGGAGAAAATGTCTAACTTGCGCAACCTAGTTGAAAACTAGCATCTAACCTTGGTTGCGCACATTTGGAATTACAATCTACTAAGGTTTAGAAATAAAAGAGACTGATGCTTTGTATTTTGAACTTTTAGAATGCAGCCTATATTGTAATAACACGATAGGTGATACTAGAGAAGCACACAATTTAAGTTATGGCATTGGTTCACTTTCACACGAACTCGTTTAGTCATAATAACGCTTCATAGCCCTATACTTCTTCAGAGAATAAAGAGCCTCCACTTCCTTAGCTACATATCGTCCATGTGCTACTAAAGCCAGTATCTTCTTCGGGTCCGCTTCATACTTATTCTTCAGAAAAGCATCGCGTATCTGCTGCCTGATTTTTTCTGGTCCATTTGGGCCGGGAAATTCCCTACCCAAGTACTGCAGCTACACAAATGAGAAGTTTATGTATATTTGTTTATCGGATTACATTATCTACTTATCTACATGCTTGTATAGCCCAACTACTTTCGATTTTAACTCAGATGACATTACCAACTAAAATCCAAGTGTATTAACTTCTACACTAGATATTCATACTGATTGAACGACACGATTACCGAGTGCAGAATATCGATACTTTTCATGAGCACTGAGTAGCAGTGTTGCCGCGCCGTCTCAAGAAAATGTATCCCTGACCAAGCCAAAAATGTATCCAAATGTATCCAATTTTCTTTTTTTACATAAACATCTCATAATTTGTAAGAAAACCAAACATTTTCATGAAAAAGACATAATTTAACTCATCCTGAGGACTTGGAATACATGTGCATAAAATCAAACATTTGTAATTTCAATTTATAAAGTACATTTTTTGTGTATAAGTAATTTGCAAAGTAAATATAATAAATAGCAAGTACACTCTAAAAAGAGCATGTAAAACTACTACTGAAAAGTATCTGTTTTTCACCAAGAATCTGCATAAATATACNATGTAAAACTCCTACTGAAAAGTATCTATTTTTCAACAAGAATCTGTATAAATATACGTATAGGATGTTCAGTATTTGATTTTGAACTTGAGATCTTTAAAATATACACATAAATACACATATATAGAATGTTTAAAATTGCAAAAATTTTCAAACTACAAATACATTTCCTACTAATAATAAACATTACTTTATTTTAAACATTTTAGGTGTAAAAGTAAACAGGCAATGATTAATTTTATTACACTGCGTGCAAATTTGCACACATTAAAAGAGGAATCTCTCTCAATATGCGCAAATAAACAAAACTTTTTTAGAGTGTATTTAAAGCCTTTTCAGTAAAATTCATAAAAGTTTCCTTAAATAAATCAAATTTAGTTTTTTAAACTACATTGAAATCTTCTTTCTTTTTAAATTAACAAATGAAAATATGTGATATGAAAGAGATT